GATGCCACCCGGTGCCAGCGGAAGGGGAAGAGCCTCCCGTGCAGCCGCGTCGCTTCCAAGGATGCCAAAACGGGAGAGCGCTGGGAGAATCCAGCCCTTGGAGCAGCCCCCGGGGAGGAAAGAATCGGCCCCGGTTTCCCTTCACCCTTCACACAGCCAGGTCTCGGTGGCCGGAGCAGCCGCCGGGTCAGATCCGGGTCGGATCTCCGGTTGGGAAAGGCGGCTGGAATCGCTCCCAGCACCCCCGGCTGTGCTGGGACAGCGGCCCCAGGGCTCGCTCTGCCTCATCCCGGCCGAGCCAGGGGGTTCGCTGAGCAAATCACCCACTGCGATGGGGGCCGGGACCCCTTGGGTGCCCCTAGCACCCGGAGCAGTGGGGTGGAACCCATCTTGCACCCCGGGTCAACTCCACATCCACATTTTGGGGTGCTTGGCTAAACTGGGGGGCTGAAACCCCCCATTCCATCCCCCCGCTCCATGGGGAGAGGCACACGGGGGTGCAGAGCCCCTGAGGGTTCACACAGCGTCCCCTAAGCGGGTGTTTGGGGGGGATCTTCTCTCCCAAACTCCCCTGGGGAGCTCAGCATCACCTGCACAGCAGAACCACGGGACACATGGATGGGGCTGGGGGTCTGAGCCCCCTTTCCGGGGCGTAGGAGCTTCCCAGCAGTGCCTGGACTTCTCCAGCCGCCGGGATTTCACCTAGATTACACTTTCCAGGCGTAGCCAGCCCAGGCTACTGGTTGCAGTCACACTTGTCAAGCTGCCCAAAAATATTTTCCAGCCGTTATATGTCACTTATTCATGCAGGGTAAAAAATCCACCCGCAGAGCCGGGGCCGGCGGGAGGCCTGCGGTTCAGGGCTCGGCAAACCTTGGAAATCTCAGGCCGATCCCGGGATCTGCTTTATCTTTGTGTAATCACCCGTTCGGAGCGGCGGCATCCTCCGGCGGGGCCCGGGGTGCCACGGCGAGGCCGGGGGGGCTCATTCCTCGCTGCCCTCCCTTTCCTGGCTCCTGGGAAAAGCCTCGGCTGCTGATTCACGTCGTGCCCAGGGGGGAGACGGCGCTTCCTGAGGCTTTATCCACCGCCGAGCCGGGGCTGGGAAACACATGGCCGGGAGGGACGGGGCGGCCCCGGGGAGACCCGGGGAGAACAAAGCGGCCGGGAGGGGATGCGGGGAGAGGACGGAGAATGGCTCGCCGTGGGGTTTCCCCAGAATTTTTTTTCCCGGGGAAGGATATTTTCCGGGCAACAACGCGTCCTCCTGTTTGCCCGTGGCTTTGCTGAGGATTCTTGGAGGTCTCTGGAGAGAAAACGCTGCATCCCGCAGAGCCCTGGGAAGCCGAGGTCCAGCTTGTCACCTGGCCCAGGGCTGCAGGAGGTCACTGAGGGCGGAATTTGAGTGGCAAACCGCGCTCCACGCAGGGGGGAAGGCAGTGGGAGCATCCCGAGCCGCAGGAGGGTTCATCAGGGAGCTGGGAAGGGGATAAGGTGTGCCGAGAGGGGGGACGTTTGCAGCCAGAGCCCTGGGGAGGACGCCCAGAGCTCGGGGAGCCCTTGAGAGCCGGTGTCCTTTGGCAGAGCCGGAGACAGGGACAGGAGAGCCTGGGATGCCCCACGAGTGTGGAATTGGGTGTCAGGGCCCGTCCTCATCTCCATTCCCTGTTCCCGCTGCTTCCAGGCTCCTCTCCAAAGTGACAACAACCCCCCCGACATCTCCTTGGCAGTGCAGTTCCCAAATATTTTCCTTTCCAGCAGCTCTCCCTTTCACAGGGACGGGTGCTGTTGGCCCGGGATGTGTTTTCCTCGGTGACCTGGCTTTGGAGAGGGGATGCGGGGAGACCTCGCTCCCTGCACACAGCTTCTTCCATTGCGGGGCTCTGGCACGCCTCAGCTTTGGCATCCTCCACACAGAGCCCTGGAGGAGGCTTTTCCTCCTTTTGCTGTCACGGAAGAGGAGCAGAAGGAAAACTCTCCCCTGGAGTGATCCAAGCATCCCTCCTACTCCCAACCTGCCCCCGGATGGACGCTGCCTGCCCCTGGAATTTGTTCGCTGCCCGGGATGTTTATTAGAGGCTCCAAGGTGCTTATTTCATGGTCTGGAGCAGGAAAGGGCTCGGAGCCTGAATGCCAATGCCCAGGGCTGGGGAGGGAATTCGGCTCTGGGTGCTCAGGGAAGCGTTGGTGGAGAGGATGTGCCTTGCACCAGCGGGAATTCGGGATTGGGATCATCCCTCCACCTTGGATGCTGTGCTTGAGCCTCTCTGTCTTCCCCAGCTGCCCAGTGCCAGGTGCTGGAGCAGCCCTGGGCCTCCCAAAAACACCAGCTGGGATAAGGATGCTCCAGCAGGGAAGCAGAAGGTGGGGGATGGCAGTGACGGAGATCACAGCACTGGCTCTTGGGGGGGAACCCCGTGCTGCTGGCTGGCTCTATCCCCCCGTGCCTCAGTTTCCCCACTGGCTGCATGGGGGCCGTGATCTGGCCTGGCTCCCAGCCTGGCCTCCGAGGTTTGAATTCCAGCTTTGTGCCCGCTGTGCTGCTCGGAAGGTGCTCTGGGAAAGCAAATATTCCTCGCCCCGGTCTTTACAGGCTGGCTGCTCCCTCTCCTGCCGCCGGCGAGGGGCACCAGGAGAGGGGCAGCGCCGGTACCAGGGGACAGGAGAGGGGCTCCGGGGGTCTCCCAGGGCCACTGCGGGGACCCGGCTGCTCCCCCCCACCCCTAAAATCCCGGGATGCTCCGCATCCTTCCACCTGCCCCACGCCGAGCTCTGTGGGCAGGGCAGACCCCCGGGGCCGGAGGGACCCCCCAGTGCAGAGGGGTCCCCTCTGGTCGGGCCGCGGCCCCGGCGTGTTTTGCAGCGCAGCTGGGCCGGCGTGCGGGGGCGAGGGGCGGTGCGAGGAGCATTCCTCACATATTTAAGGGCTCTGAGAGCCAGTGGGATGCTGCTCCGGTGGCTCCGCGGCTTCACAGCCCGGCTGAGGCCCGGGTACACCTATTTAAAATCTCGCTTTCATCCCGCACCCGACTAGGAGCAGTTCAATCCTTGCTTCCTTGCACATCCCAAACCCTGCCTGCACCGGGAGTGATGCTCGGGACTCCTAAGAGGACTTGGAATGAGGGGACGGAGCTGCTGAGTCGCTGAGGGAATGCGGAGCTGGGCGGGTGCTTCCCATCCTGCGCGGTGCCCCTTGAGGGCTCCTGGGACCCCCGCAGGGATTAAAATCCCTCCTGCTCAGGGCATTTCCAGCACTCGTGGGATCTCAAAAGGGTGAGGGTCTCTCCCTTTGGTGGGATCTTCACAGGGCTAAGGGTCCTCCCTGCCCAGTGTCCTTCAAGGGCTGCTGAGACCCACAGGAGGATGAGGATCCTTCCCAGCTGAGGGTCCCTCCAGCCCTGCACCATGCACGGAGCCTCCTCTGCCCCAGACTGACCTGGAATCTGATCCCGTCCTGTTTATCTGCAGCCCGCTCTGCCAAGGCTTCCCCACGGCTCTGTTTGCTTTTCCCGGCTCACCAGAACATCGCGTTCACGCCCCTTCCCACCGCTCGTTTTGTTGAGCTTTCCCTGCAACACCGTTCCCAACCTTGGTGGGGCCCGAGGTCAGGCTCATCCCAAAATCCCAGCGACGCCGGAGAGCTCAGGCCGTGGCTGCCCCCTGCTCACCTTACCCGGGGGGTGAGGGATGCTGAGCTCCTGCATCCCGGGCAGGGGGGACAGGGACCCTACAGGGGACCCACAGAGCCATCAGCGGCCAGGAGGCGCCTGTAGGATCGGGATGGGGGTGCTGAGGGGTTTGGCCCGGGTCCGAATGAAAAACCTTGTTTGTCTAAAGCTTCAGCCCCGGCGTTACGTCACCGTTCCAAGAAGCCGAAAGAAAACACTGCACAAAAAGTCAAACAACAGAGGAGGGCTGAGCTATCTCCCGGCTGCGGGGGGGGAGGGAAGAGCTCCGTGGGAGCAGCTCCCAAAGGGCTGGTTGTGTTCTGGGGGGTGGGAGGGATGTGCAGGGATGGAACTGAGATGATTCCCCTCTCCCCTTCTTCACTCCCGACTGCTCCGTGCCCCACGCCTGGCCTTGGAGCTGGCGTCCCTCTGGCACCGCATCCCCCCCTCTGGCACCGCATCCCCCCCTCTGGCACCGCATCCCCCCCTCTGGCACCGCATCCTCCCCCT